ATTTTTTGATACATATGCATGTTCTTATATTGTGTAGCAAGTTTGAGCTGATTCCGATCAAAATTGGATTTTTTATGAATTTTTAAAGTTACTCAAAAATTGGGCCAAAGTCCCTGTACTATAGTACAGGGTCTTTGGCCAAATTTCGCCAAAAATGACTAGGAGAGAATTCTTCATTTTTGTAATGTTTTTTGATACATATACATGTTCTTATATTGTGTAGCAAGTTTGAGCTGATTCCGATCAAAATTAGATTTTTTATGAATTTTTAAAGTTACTCAAAAATTGGGCCAAAGTCCCTGTACTATAGTACAGGGTCTTTGGCCAATTTTTGCCAAGAATGACTAGGAGAGAATTCTTCATTTTTGTAATATTTTCTGATACATATACATGTTCTTATGTTGTGTAGAAAGTTTGAGCTCATTCTGATCAAATTTGAATTTTTTATGAATTTTTAAAGTTGCTCTAAATGCCATGTACTGCACTGTAGTGCTTGTCAGCTCATGAAGCTCATGCTGTTTAGCTCACTTAGCATGCTTTGTGGAAACCCTGATAAAGTATAATATTATGTATATTATTATGATAGGTTGAAGAGATAGAGCTGAAACCCAATGGTGGAGATATAGACGTAGTTGAGGATAATAAAAAAGAATATGTCAGGTAATTATGCTGGGATTTGACCACACCCATTTATTGACACGCCCCTTTTTAGACTTTTAATGAAGTGGAGATTTGAAGACCGCTGTGCCAAACAAATGGACGCAATAAAAAAGGTGGGGACCTGGATTTTAAAATTTATTATTATACTTTCTTTTTTATCTTAATTGTGTCATTTCAGGGTATTAGTGACATCTTCCCATTGCAAATGTTAAAGGTTTTTGACGAACGAGAGATTGAGGTTAGTCACTTAAAGTAGAGATTTCAGGTGTTATATACCAGTACTCATGGCCACAAAAAATGCATCAATATTTTTAATTTTATGCCTTTATTTCCTTACAACATAAGTACATGTATATGTATTAGAAATTTTAATAAAATAGAGAATTTTGTCAGAGCTTTATATCGTCTACAATAGTCATGCATACAAGATTAAAATAAGGACATGTGATATAATTCCTATGCTGAGCAGTATTGATCAAACTCTTTGTTCATACACTATAATCCATGATAATTGTTAATATCAAACACAAACATCCTCTAGAGTATAGCCTAACAGTCTGAGCTATTCTCTGATAGGCCACATTATCATTATTATGTACACCATTGGCCTTGAATAACAACTGTTAATACATCCCATGCCTGTCATATGATATAGTTCATAACACTCACACCCTTTTAAGCCACTATATCCACTAGATCACCATCCTAGTACACATAGAGACAATCTGAGACTAAGTGGCTCTATTCCATTAGCTTATCAGTCTATGCATGCTTGGAGAGATTATGAAAATACTTTTCTTTATAGTCTATAATGAAACTATGGCTATTTAGAGCTACCAGTCTCTGACTGGTTGGTGGGCAATATCTATAGAAAATGATTTCCCCTTATCTTCAGTGATGTATGCATGGGATTTTATGCTTCTCTTTCTGTTTCTTTCTCTCTTTTTTATTTTTCCCCCCTCCTATTCATTCCCTTTCCCTTATTGCTTCTAGTGTCTCCATTTATTTATTCTTTTTCTTTTTGTGTACATGTACATGCACATGTATGTACATGCAAGTCCTCTTCCCCCCCCCCCCTCTCTCTCTGTTTGTGTTTTTTTCTTGTATGTACATGTACCTATCTCTTCTGAGAATTGCCTATTTGATTACACTGTATCAAACTGATCACTTATCTAGCAATAACTGTGTAATTTCATATTTATATTTATGCCAGTCAGTGAGATTAGGGGGAGAGAGGGAGAGGGAGAGAAGGGGAGATAGAGGAGAGTGGTAAGGATCAGGTGTCTCTTATGAATATCA